GCCCCATTCATACTTTGGCAGTACTTCACATTAAAGAATAGAGACTCAGAATGCCCAACCAGTGGCTTCTCCGCAAATAAGCATAGGGAGGGAGGTCTGCCCTGCTCCTGGACCGTCATCCCACAGTGACAGCAGAAAGAAATAACACAGTCATGGCACACACTAGTGCCATTGGTGTTGGTCAGTTCCGTACCCTATCAGATTGCACACACAATCTGTGTGTAGATATGAGTGCCACAAAGAAAGATCTGTGATTTTCACCTCAGCCTATCTATATGAGATATCAGAAACCACACCAGTGTCTAAATGGGATTAAAATTTCAGGCCTTTCATGATGTTTGGTGCTGCCAGTATCAGAATTGCTTTAAAATAACATACCTAGTATCTCCAGTGCCCATGGAAATCCCCACTGCCTGATGGGGATTGCCATTCCAATACAGGAGTAGCCACAGAGGTTGCACCCCACATATTATGCTACACCATACCTGCCTGATTTACCAGAAGATCCCACTTGTGTGAGCTGTACAGAGAAAGTGGGTTACTCAGGCTGCAGTAGGGTATACATTGTGTCAAAACTCACTAATCAGCCAAAGAAGTCAGAGATTATACTACGGAGTCCAGATGAAATTAGACTCAGCTATATACAACAAACTGGTACCTCAAGATGCATGGTGAAGGCCACTTACTAAGAAGACTGTCCCAAAATAGTGGAATAGAAATCTGTCTAAACAGATGCATAAATCTCCACAGATACACAAGAAATATGGGAAACAAGGCAATAAGACACAGGCTAAAGTTCCTAATTTTATAGATTCCAAAGTTATTGAAGTGGACAAATTGGCAGGTAAAGAATTCAAAAGAATGATTTTGTAAAAAACTCAATTACAAGAGGATGCAGATAAATAGTTGAATGCATTGAGGAAGAAAGCAGAAGATATGAATGAGAGATTCAGTAAAGATAGAGACTTTTAAAAAAGAACGAAACAAAAATCCTGAAAATGGAAAACATGGTAAATCAGATTTTAAAAACTCAGTTGAGAGCCTCATCTACACACTAGATGAAGTGGAAGAAAGAATATCAGAGCCTGAAGACAAGTTTGATAGAGTATTCAATAAAAGTTAAATGTACAAAAGAATGAACAGGACGTAAAGACGTTTGTAGCACCATTAAAACACAACACCAAATGTCCAAATAACTGGTGTATTAAGGGAGATAAGCTACAGGCAGAAGGCATAGAAACCTGAGAGTAAGTCTTTGGGTACTTAGGTAAGGCAGTGGTTTCCTAGGTATGACACCACAAGCTGAAGTGAAAAAAGTAGATAAGGACCTTTTTCAGAATTAAAAAATTGTGTAGTAGCAGAGTAGCTGGATATAAGGTCAACACTAGAAAATCAATAGCCTTCTTGTACATAAATAACAGACTCACTGAGAGAAATTAGGGAAACAGTTCCTTTCGCATTAGCATCCCCCCACAAAAAGTATCTCAGTCTAATGAAGGAAGCAAAAGACCTCAACACTGAAAATTATAGCACTCTGAAAAAAGAGATCCAAGAGGATGTGAGAAAATGGAAAGATATCCCCTGCTCCTGGGCAGGAAGAATCAACATAGCAAAAATGGCCATACCACCCAGACAGTTATTCAGATTCAGTGCAATCCCAATTGAATTCTAACAGTATATTTCACAGAACTAGAGAAAACAATCCAAAAATTCATTGGAACAAGACCTAGAATAGCAAAAGCAATTCTAGGCAATAGAGACATGACAGGGTATCACAATCCCTAACTTGAAACTGTACTACAAAACCACTGTGATAAAAATAGCATAGTACTGGTGAAGAAACAGACCCGAGGATCAGTGGAATAGATTGGAAAGTAGAAAAACAACTCCAGATACACTCAGCTACCTCATCTTTGACAAAGAGCCAACCATCCTCACTGGAGGAAAGATAGCCTCTTCAAACAATTGTGTTGGAAAAACTGGATTTCAACCTGCCAAAGATTAAAACTAGACCTTTATCTTTCACCATGCACTAAACTAAAATTCAAGTGGATTAAAGATCTAAACACTAAAACAGAAACACTAAACTTGTTGGAAGATAAGTTAGGTAGAACTCTCGAAGACATTGGTATAGGAAAAGACTTTACAAGCAAATCCTCAGTAGCACAGGAGCTATCACAAAGAATCAACAACTGAGATCTCATCTTTTTAAAAAGCTTCTGCTCTGCAGGAGAAACCACCAACAGAATTAAGAGACAACTTACAATGTGGGAAAACATTTTTACTAGCTGCTCCTCAGACAAAGGACTAGTATCTAGAATATATAAAGAACTAAGAAAGGATCAGGCCTCCCAGATATAAAGACCTGATTCAAAAATGGGCATCTAAAATGAGCAGACATTTCTCAAGTAAAGAAGAAAAAGCAGCAAATAAATACAAGAAATAATTTTCAACAACTCTGTTCATTCAAGAGGTGCAGATGAAAATGCTGCTGAGATTCCACCTCACCCCAGAAAGAATGGCTGCTTTGAAGAAATCAACCAATAACAAATGTTGGCGGGTTGTGGGGAGAAAGGAACCTTCTCCATTGTTGGTGGGAGTGCAGACTGGTACAACCACTGTGGAAATCACTGTGGAGATACCTCAGACAGCTAGGACTTAGAGGTTCCATTTGACCCAGCTATCCTTCTGCTGGGTATCTTTCCAAAAGAATTAAAAGAATCACACCAGGGCTGGGGATTTAGCTCAGTGGTTCAGCTGCCTCTCTCCCAAGCGCAAGGTCCCAAGTTTGATCCCTGGTACCAAAAATGAAAAATAAATAATTAAAATGAAATTTTAAAAAGACTCATACCACAGTGATATATGCACACCCATATTTATAGTGGCACAGTTTGTAATAGCTAAAACTTGGAAACCGCCCAGTTACCCATCAATTGGAGAATGGATAAAGAAGATGTGGTTTTTCTATAAAACGGAATACTATTCAGCCGTAAAGAATGATAAACTAGAGTCATTTATAGGGAAATGGATGCATATTGAGGCCATACTCTTAAGTGAAATAAATAGGACACACGTGTAAATCCTGAATAGTTTCTGTGGTGTGAAAAACCAGAACTGTAAATGATTCAAATTGTATAACTGATAATGTGAAATAGGAATAAAAGGGCTAAAGGTGTAGGGGAAGTGGAAAGGGTAGGGGAATGGATAGAAGTGAAAAGAATATGAGAAAAGGGAAAAATGGAAACAATGTCTGTAAATAGGGGAGGGTGGAGGGAGTGAAGGGAGTGCTGGGGTATGGGGGAAAAATGAGAACCAAGACCTATCATGTAAAGGTATGAGATCCCAGTGATGATTGTAACTACTGTATACCTAAAAAGTACCAATAAATTCAATGAAAAATATCTGTGTAATAAAGGACACTGTCTAGAGTGTGAAAGGACAGCTTACAAAATGGAAGAAAATCTTTGTAAATCATTTATTTGATAAATTTCTTATATGTAGACTATAAAAAGAACTCTTATAAGTCAACCATATGACAATCCAATGAAAAGAGAGGTAAAGTACTTGAATAGACAGTTTTCCAAAGAAGATGTACAGATATCTAATAAGCATGTGAAAAGTTGTTCAAAATCATTGGTCATTAGAGAAATGTAAGTTAAAACTGCAGTGGGATATAACAATTGATCTACTAAGATGGAAGAAAAGAAGATAGACAATAAATGTTGGGAAGGATTTGTACTAATTGGAATTGCTGCTCAGAATGTAAAATGCTACAGCCACTTTGGAAGGCAGTTTGGCCATTTTGTTTTTTTTTTTTACTGGGTATCAAATTCAGGACCTTGTGCTTGCCAGGCAGGCACTGTGCCACTTAGCTAAATCCCTGGCCGGTGGCCATTCTTTAAAAAGATTAATATGATGTTACTATATGACTCAGCAATTTCATTCTTAGGTTTATATGTCAAAGAAATATATATCCATAAACTTGTACAACTGTCCTCGCCAGCGTTATTTGCAAAAACAAAAGCAAAAGAAAACAAAAAACCTGAAATGGCTTATCATGTGATGAAAGGATAAGTAAAATGTGGTATGTCAATGCAATGAAATACTCAACAATACAAAGGAATAAATAAATTACTAACCTGTCTTTTCTGTAGATCAGCCTTGAAAACATGCTAAATAAGAAGCTATTTGCAATATAAGATATATCCAGAATAAACAAATTTATAAAGGTAGATTAGCAGTAACTTTCACTTGGGGAAGAAATAAGGAAGGGTTTTCTGGGTGTGACTCCTTATGAATATGGAGATTTTTTTTTTTAGGCAGAATGAAATGTTCTAACATTATATAGTAGTGATATTATACAAAAGACCAAATTGAATGGATAAACTTCATGACATGGGAGTTATACCTCAATAAAAATGTTACTAAAGAAAAAAATCAATTGAGAATAACTTTAAAAAATTTTTTCATTTAAGGACACTTTTTTCTTTGGTACTGGGGATCAAACTCCAGTCCTTTTCTTGCGAGGCAGCGCTGTAACCACTGAGCTAAATCCTCAGTTCAGGACAGGTTTTTAACTCCGTATGTTTTCTGAATGCATCAGCAATTACTCATTTACTCATCAAATTAGCATTTTCAGGTATATTTTGTTACTGGATTAAAAAACTATGTTTACTTTTTGTTGATATTTTATTTCTACACTTTTCAATTTCCTATGATTGCTTCTGTACTCTATTACACCAAAGTATGCAATATATTACTCTTACTTATTGATTTTATACTTTTACTATGGTTTTTGTATTTCCTGCCTATATCATTATGGTCTTAACTAGATGTCCTTTTGTCTTTCCACTATACATTCATTTCAATGCTGCCACCTTATGTTAAATACAGAACTACACAACCTTAATATATATATATATATATACATATATATATATATTTATTCATTTATATTTAAACTTTTTGGAGGCTGATGGAATGTTTCAATTCTCTTGTAGATTTTATTTTCCTCACTGGTATTGCAGTGGAAACAACAGAACTTATCGATACGGAATATCTCGAGGTGCTGAAGCTCCTCTTCTTGATGATTTTGTCATGTCTTACCTTTTTGCTCAGGTATGACTGTATTATTTTACCAGAGTATATATTAAATGATAAATATCTTCCTGTGTAGTATCTCTTAATTAGGATTAACTTCACATGGGAAAATTGCAGTTTTGTCTTATTCAGCAGGTGAAGACAGGTAAAAAATAGTATTTAACACTTTTTTTTTTTTTTTTTGGTTTTTTGAGACAGGGTCTCACTACGTAGTTGAGACTGACCTGGAACTCACTATGTAGCCCAGGTTGGTCTTGAACTCACAGCGATCCTCTAGCCTCAGCCTCCCCAGTGCTGGTATTACAGGCATGCGCTACCACACCCGGCCTGTTAACACTAATTTTTAATTCCACAATTAATAATAAAATATATTTCATGAAGATTTGTAGCACTGATCATTTTGCATTTTCTTTCCTTTTATTTTAGGACTTTTGACCATTTTAAGGATTTCCCAAAGTATAACTGAGGTTTTTTTTTTGTTTTTGTTTTTTCTACCAGGCATCGTACTGTGGACCTTGTGCTTGTAGGCAGGCAGCTAAATCTCCGGCCTCTATCTGAGTTTTATAACGCAATTCATGTGAATATAAGTAGTTGAAATACTGAACTGTAAAACTTTTGTTGAGTGTTTTTTTCTTTTTTTCCCCCTGGTCCAGGTGGGGTGGTGGTAAGGGATCTAATTCAGGACCTGGTGCTTGTCCTTGACAGGCAGGCAGGGAGCTGCTGAGCTGAGTCTCTGGCCCTTTTTAAAAAATTTCTGGATAATTTCAGACTTAAATAATGAATAGTAAAATGTGAAAAAAATAAATATGAGTTATGATAGTTTGTGTAGCTCTTGATGCGAGGTTAAGGAGATATTGATACTTAGAGCTATGTTTTACCTAGTTGGTCATCAGTATTGTTATATTAATGTTTGTATTATCTTTGATCTTTTTATAATACTTTCTTTTCTATTACTTTGATTTAAATAGTAATTAAAATGCTTTGTCATTAAATAATTTTTGTTTTCATGTGCTGATGGAGTAGTATGAATAAAAACTGAAGAAAGAAAAGGTAATTAGTGCTCTTGGGTAAAGATATTCTTAAAGTATCAGGTAAAAAAGTTCTAATTCAGATTTGCTGCCATCATAGGAAATAACCCTACACATTTTCATGGCTCACGTTTCTAATAAGCCTAGTAAATGTGAGCCATAAATTTAAAAATACTTCTCTGTTGGGATGTGAGACTAGTCAACTTTTTATTGTCGTAAAAATAAATAATAAAATGATCATTTAGCCATTTTTAAGTGTATAATTCAGTTTCATTAACTAAGTACATTATTTTATAACCATCACCATTATCCATCTCTAAAACATTTTTTATTTTTTCAAACTGAAACTTTGCATTAAACTGTAACTCTATTTCCTTCATCTCCTGGTCCTTGGTAAAATCACTACCTTCCTTCCTTCCTGCCCTCCCCTCCCCTCCCCTTCCCTTTCCTTAGTCTTTTGAGGCAGGGTTTTACTATATGCTTCAGGCTGTCCTGAGACTCTGTATCCCAGGCTAGTCTCAACTCACATGGTGATCCTCCTGTCTCATCTCGCAAGTACTGGAATGATAGGTGTGTGCCACCATGCTCAGCTCATTTTGCTTTCTGTCTGTATGAATTTTCTGATTTTATTTTCATACAAATGAAATTATACAGTATTTGTCTTTTTGTGACCAGCTGGTTTTACTTAGTATGTCTTCAAGGTTCAACCATGTTGCAGCATGTGTTAGAATTTCTTTCCTTTTTACAACTGAATACTATTCCATTGTATATATATATATACTGCCTCTTTTGTATTAATTCATCTGTTGATGAACATATTGGGTTGCTTCTACCTTTTAACTATTTGTAAATAATACTCCTGTGAACATGGATATACAAATACTTCTTTGAGTCTTTTCTTTCATTTCTTTTGGAAATAAATCCAGAAGTGGAACTGAAATTATATAGGGTAATTGTATCTGTTGAGAAGCTGACAATTATTTTTCATAGTACTTATACCATTTTGAATTTCTATAAACAGTGTACCAGTGTTTCAGTTTCTCTACACTCTTGACAGCTTACTTTGTAAAATAATAGCTGCCCAGAGAGATATGAAATGATATTTCATTGTTGTTTTTATTTGCATTTCCCTAGTAGTATTAGCCATATTTTCATAAGTTTGTTGGGCGTTTCTATATCCTTTTTTGAAAAATACCTAACACCCACACTTTTATGGAGGAAATGGTTTATTTGGCTTACCATTTCAGAGGGTTCAATCCATAGTCAGCTGGTTCCAAGGCAGAAACATGGCACAAAGGCTTGGTAAAGCAAACCTGCCTAGTTCATAGTGACCAGGCAGCAGAGTAGGTGAAAAGTGTCAGCAAGGAAGGGGCCAGGGACCAGATATAGACCCCAAGATATCCTTCATGACCCAACCAGACACACCTAGAAATGTACTTTACTAACTTTGTAGACAGCTTTCAGGCCAATCAAGTTGAAAGCTGACCTTAATCATCACATCCCTCCTGTTTTCAACTTGGCACCCAAACACATCTCCTTAAACCATGCTTAATCTCCAGATAAATACAATACAAGTTCATAATTCTGCCTAACATAATACAATTATCCAACCAGAAACACAACAGTCCCTTATCCAAAGTCTCAAGAGATCTGACATTGTCCAAAGGTCCAAGAACAAGTCTCCTCAGATTTAAGGCAGTCAGCTCTAAAACTCTGTAAAAGTAAAAAACAAGTCACACAATCCCAAGGTACAGCAGTATAGGGTAAATATTCCCATCCCAAAAGGGAGAAATGGGGAGCTTGAAAAGAATAGGACCAAAGCAAGACTAGAAAACAGCAAGTCAACGATTAAGTCCTGTGGCTCCTTATCTGGCATTGAGGGAACATGCTGGTGAGATATCAGTTCTAGTGGGGTTGGGCAGCCCCACTCCTATGGACTTGCTGATTGCAGCTCACATGGCCTCCCTCTTGGGCTGGCTGTACTCATGGCTTGTAGCTTTCCTCAGCAGACATTCCATTTTCCTTGTAAATTCAACTTCTGGGGTCTCCAGGGTAACTTTAACTTCATTTTGAGAGCTTCGTGTACTGCCCTCTGAGGGGCCAGTTGCTTGACCTCCCAGGGCTTCCTTAGAAATCTAGCAGGATGCCTTCCTGACCACACAACTTTATATCCAGTAAAACTGGCATCATGTGAATGACAGCAAAGTCTTTTGTCAGTGGGATCAGTTTCTAGGCCACATTGGATCATGGCTACACTAACACCTGAGTTTCTGGATGACTGAGGATAGTGAAATGAATCCCAGAGGACCTATTCCATATGAAGCCCTTCATTAGCAGGTTTCTAAGGATTCTTTTCTTAAATGAAAAGGCGAGACTTTTACACCCATTTGCCATAACAGTTGCAGTCTTGCTGATTCATGAGATGCTCTGAAGGCATCTTTTTTCTTGTTTCCATACAAAGTACTTCATTTCTTTTAAATACCACTTTTCAGCAATAATACCTCATTGGGCCCAGAACTTTATGCATCATTCTGTCAAGGTGAAGATTTAATTTGTTCTGCCCTTCTTTTTGTCCCTATTCTCACTGTAAATCTGACTAAAAGCAGCCAGCATTACCCATGCCACAACCTAAATGTTGGGCTGCCTTGAACTTTCCTCCACCAAATCAATTAATTCACCTTAATCTGCCTTAATTTCAATCTCCCCCAGTCTCAGGATACAGGCAAAATATAGACAAAAAACTTTTTTTTTCCAGAGTATAACACATGTCTTCTAGTCCATCTGCCAGCAAAGTATACTTGTTCTGAACTGACATGTCCTAAGGTTAGCCTTGACTGTGTGCTTCTTATCAACATTCTGGTCTTTTGAACTCTGGCCAGGATCACTCATTATTAGGCTCTTCTTTCAACATTCTAGGCCTTCTCTATCCTGCCTTATTCCAAACTCTTCTCAAAAACCTGTTCCAAAGGTTCTTCTCAAAAACCTGTTCTGTACCACATGGTCAGGTATAGTCACAGCAATGATTCCATTCGTGTTACCAATCTTTTGTATTAGCTGTCCCATTGCTGGGTTCAAATCCCTTACACCCACAACTTAAAGAAAGAAATGGTTGATTTGGCTTACAGTTTCAGAGGATTTAGTCCATGGTCAGCTGACTATAAGAGAGGAACTTTTTGGCAGAAGGTCATGGTAGAAAAGAGTTGCTTAGTTCTTGGCAACTGGGAAATAGAGCAGAAGAGTGCTGAAGAGGAAGGGGCCAGGGACCAGATATAAACTCCATGGTCATGCCTCCATGACCCACCTAGTCATACCCAGAAGTATACTAACCCCGTAGGCAGCTCTCAAACTAAAGAAATTGATCATTAAGCTTAACCACCATAAATTTTTATTCAGGTCCTTTGTTCATGTTTTCATTATGTGTGGTTTTTTTTTGTTCATTTGTTTTGGTTTTTTTTTTGTTATTTGGTTGTGTCATAGGAATTCTTTATATATTCTGTATATTACTCCTCATAAATTATATGATTTGTAAATATATTTTCCTCATTTATGTGTTATCTTTTTACGTTTTTAATAGTGTCCTTTGATCAATAAAAGTTTTAAATTTGCTGAGTATGGTGGTGCATTCTTGTAATCCCAGGTGTTGAGGAGGCTGAGTTGTGAGGATGGCAAGTTTGAGGCCAGCATGGGCAACTTAGCAAGAGTCTGTCTCAAAAGGAAAGGGTGGATGGGAATATAATTTGGAGTATGTAGCATGTGAGAGGCCCTGGTTTCCATCTCCAGTACTCAAGAGAAGTTTTAAATTTTGATGTATTAAAATTTATTTACTTTTTATTTTTGTGACTTGTGCTTTTGCCAAAAGACAAAGCCTATGTCATGATCCTCTCACCATGTTTTCTTCTAAGAATTTTATAGTTTTAGTTAACAATTAAACCTTTGATCCATTTTGAGTTAATTTATGCATACAGTGTGTTAGGGGTCTAACTTTATTTTTTTTGCATCTGGTTTTCCTAACCTCTTTGTGGAAAGATTGTTCTTTCTCCATTGAATGAACTTGGCATCTGTATTGAAAATTATTTGATCACCAGTGAACTTTTTATAGTTTCTTTTCTCTCTATAGTCAGTTTTTAAAAATTTACTTTATTAGTACATGTATTCTATATATGAAGTTTACATTCATCTTAGGGAGTACTTAGATATGTACTTCACATATCTTGTCTTTTTATTCCCATTTCTCTCCCCACCCATGTCCCTGTCTCAATCCCTAGACACCCTTTCCCTATTTTCATTATTATTATTATCTTTAGTTCATGTTTGGAACATGTAATTATTACATTCATTGTGGCTATTTGGTTCATGTATTTGGTACATGATACATCTTGTCTTTTTATGTCCCTATCCCTTCTCTCCCTTCCCTCACCTTCAGTCTCTTGGACCCCTTCTCATTTACAAAAGATCTATCTCCTTGATTCCTTTTATCATTTTTTAATTTTGATCCTTATTTGTGCTTTGCACTACTCAAATGAGAGAAACCATATGGTATTTAAGCTCATATGTCTGATTTATTTCACTTAACATTATGTTTTGAAAGTACTGTATATATCCATTTTCCTACAAATGCTTTGAATTTACCCTTGGCATTCCATTATATATAGACAGCACATTTTCCTTATCCATTCATCTGTTGATGGACATATAGGCTACTTTCAGGATTTAGCTTTTATCAAGTATCTTGCTATAAATTTTAGTATGCATGTTTCACTGTAATATGATATCTTTTATCCCTTTTGAAAGATACCAGAAGGGGATAGCTGGGTTGAATGAAATGTCTATTAGTTTTTTCAGAAGTCTTCATACTAATTTCCCTAATGGTTGTACTAATTTTATATTCCCACCATCACTGTAGAAGGTTTCCTTTTTAACACAGCCACACCAACATTTGTTATTATTTGATTTCTTGATGATTGCCATTCTTTTTAGTGTAAGATGAAATTTTAGTGTCACTTTAATTTGCATTTCTCTAATGGCCACATATAGTGAATATTTTTTCATTTGTTTATTGGCAGTTTGTACTTGTTCATGTGAGAAGTATCTGTTCATTTTGATTTCCCATTTTATGATTGAGTTGTTTTTTATGGGGTGCCTAATTTTTGAGTTCTTTATATATTCTAGATATTAGTCCTTTATCATAGGAGTAATTGGCAGAAATTTTCTCCCATTTTTCAGGTTGTCTCTTAACTTTGTTGATTGTTTTCTTGGCTGTGAGGAAGCTTTTAAATTTGATATAATGCCACTTATTGATTCTTGCTGTTATTTGTTGTGCAAATGGCATTTTGTTCAGAAAGTACTTGACTGTAACTGACTTCTCGAGTTTTACTTTCTTTGTCTTCTAAAAGGTTGTGCTTCTCTTTTAATATTTAGATCAATGATCGATTTTAATTTTAGCTTAGTACATGGTGAGAGATGAGTCCAGCTTTAATCTTGTATATGGTTAACCGGTTTCCCAGCACCATTTGCTAAAGAGGTTGACTTTCTTCCAACATATGTTTTAGTCCCATTTGTCAAAGTTCAAATAATTGACTGTACTTGGAGTTATTTCTGCACCTTCTGTCCTGTTCCATTGATTATCATATCTGTTTTTGTGCCAGTATGATGCTGTTGTGGCACTATAGCTTTGTAGCCTGTCTTGAAGTCAGGCCTCCTGCTTTGATCTTGTTGCCCAGGATTGCTTTTGCAATAATACAATAATAAATTAAAATGTGCTAATGAAATTTATATTTCCTTTTACATTTTTGTTTCTTTTAGTGGCGGCATGATTTTGTGCATGGATGGATAAAAGTACCCGTAACTCACGAAACCCAGGAAGAATGTCTTGGAATGGCAGTGTTAGATATGATGAGAATAGCCAAAGAAAAAGATCAAACTCCATTGGCTATCTATAACTCAATCAGGTAATTTCCTTCTCCATATTCATATATGTAAATGTAAACAGATTTTATATAATTTACTTGTAGTTTCTTTTTGTGCATACTATTTGATTTTATAATAATAAAAAATGAGTAACTTTTTTCTTACATATAACAGTTTATGAGATGAAATTATTGAGCTAATACTGCAGAAAACATCATAAATGTCTATTTATTATTTGATTATTATTAAAAGGCTAAATAAACTCAGATGACTGGAAAGAATACCTGGAGAGATAATTTTTGATAGTAGAGCCTCAAATTATAAATGATCTGAATCAGTGTTTCTCACATGTGGTTTGTATTTTACTTGTATTAGAATCGTCTGAGGTACCTGTTAAAATGGAAGATTCCTGGGCCATAGCCCAGGCAGTTTGGATTTAGTAATTCTAAGGTGAAGCCCACAATTATGAAATTTTACAGATGCTTCAGAGGATGCTTATACAAATGATTCAAATTCAGCATACTCCAAATGTTTCTTCTACATATTGGATTTTGGCAATCGTGATTAAGAGTTTTTTAAAATACCATTCCAGTAGCCCTGTTTAAATGTCTGCAAAATCTCTACTTTTTAAAAAGGTATATACAGTAAGTCCCTGACTTATGAACAAGTTCTGCTCTGGAGTATGTTTGTCAGATTCAACTGGTTTATAAGTCTGAAAAAGTAGGTCTTATACATCTTTGCCACAAGTATACAATGTAAAACATAAAAAACCCAAATATACACACAAAAATATTATACACTATTACACCATATAGTGGGCATACAGAAGCACAACTGTGACAGTGTCCAGCAGACACATGAGCTACTTCTTTGCTTTGTTCACATCTATGATTGTTCTAATGCAAGGTCTATTTGTATTTATGAATATTTGCAACTTGAATGTTCATAAATTGGGACCTTACTGTATAGCTATATAAGAATGCTTTGGTTTTTTTTAAGTTTTAAGACTAAATATACATCTCACACACTAAACAATTACCAGATTAAAAGCTTGAGTATGTAGCCAGGTATGATAGCACTTATATATACTCTGAGCTACTAGGAAGGCTGAAAGAAGAGCACTTCACAACTTTGAGACCAGTCTGGGCAACATATTGAGACCCTGTCTGAGAATAAAATTAGAAAGGGCTGGGGTGTAGCTCAGTGCTAGAGAGCCTATCTTGTATCAGGCCCTAGTTATGTACACACATACACACACACACAAATGTTTGATGATGTGGATGTGGTTAAAACTCATTTTTTAAAAAGTTTTTCTTTCAGTAATTGTGTTTAGTAACTCCTTTGCTGAGTAGCTTCAAAACAGTCCCAAATCCAGTTTGTAGAGGATCAGTTTCTGTGTTTTCCTCTTTGGTTTTAAGTATTCTTTTTTGTTTTTAGATGTCTGTTAGGCCTTAACTCGAGGCAATAGACATAAGATTGATTTTAAGCACTCAGGAATCTAAAGATTAAGTCTAAAAGAAAACCTAAAGCTGTACCATTTTTCATTAAGGTGATCGTTATTAAAATACAGATGCCTATTAGATATTAGCTTAGTTATTCAACAGCAGATATTTTTGGATATTTGCTATATGTCAGGCTATAGAAGAACAGAGCTGGAGGAAGAGTATTTTAGAAGTTTATAGAAACTGAAGGAATTGAAGAGAACACAATAGAAGAACAGAAGTGTTAAACACTGAAGATGAGAATTATATGTATGAAATCACATGTAGGCTTATACTATATTATTGCGTACTTCTGTTTTTGTGATCACAGTCTTATCCAAAGCCTTAACTCAGTCTTTTATGTAGATTGTGGTTTCTTTGAGGTCAGGAATCATGTTATCTATTATTCTTCTTCTTACATTTTTCAGTATTCTAAACACAATGGATGTTTGGTAATTGTATTTCTATGAGTCTTTTAACTCATACTCTGAACCAGTGCATAAAAATATCTGCAAACTTCATAATTATTTTTATTTGCTTTACTTTTTATTTGATTTTAGTATTTTTTTCCATTAAGGTTATTGGTACATTCAAAGCAAACAATATAGTTACATTTATCATTGGAATCTTGTACCTTTACATGATATATCTTGGTGGTTCTTCCTCTTGTTCCTCCTCATCCTCCTCCTCCTCCTCCTCCTCCT